GAATCTGATAAGAAAAGTGATTTCGTTTTGAAATTTAAATGGGATTGTTTGGATTTATTAATTTTTTAAAAAGGGTATTATTGTCTTATGAGCAAATGATATGTTTTTGTAATTACAATACATAATAAGGGCAAAAATGACATTTACTCTTCAAAAGGTTCTTTTGGTGAATGGCAAAAAAAATTTGGTCAATGTGGAAAATTGTTCTTTTGACTAGGTGATTTTTAAAAGTACCCCTAATTATTAGATATCTCTTTTAATAAAAAAATACAGGAAAGATCAAGCAAAAGAATCTCAGTTGAATTATTGAAACTGTTGGGAATTTTTACAACAATTCCCAAAAATTCCCTTTATTTCAATTTACCCACAAGATTTTTCTTATTGTTCAAGAGAATATTAGCAAACAAGGCAAATAAAAAATATGATGCACAAATTAATCGGACCGTCAAAACTTTTCACTATATAAAAATTGTTACAATCATATAGAATTTCACATACCAATCCAATTCCCAAGTATTACAAAAAAAAATATAAACTTGAACTTTACTACACATACTTTTCTACCCAATGTACGAAAAGTCTCAAGATGTTAGGCTTCACAATATTTTCCTCTCAGAACAACACTTTGGTCTCACCCAAAATAATGAAATACATCCACTATTTATAGGATCAATAATCAAGTAGAAGAGTTTAATTTAAACTAAAACAAGACTCCTTTAACTCAACAAGGATTCCTTCATGTACAATACTCCAAAATCGATTGTAAACTGGAGACCAAATTCTACGGATTCTACTCTTAACTGTAATTAGAAGTCTTCTATACAATAACCACATTTTATTATTTGCAATAAAAGTCCCCCTTTTGACTTTTGAGACAATTACTCAACAATCTCTACTTTGTCGAAAACAAGTCAAAATGTCGTCATTTCTTCTATAACTTTTAATCACAATATTTGGAAAAAACAGGTAAGTCTTTGACACACTTTAACGGTCCCATACTCCATCATATGAGTATAACCACTCAAAATTATCCGCGAACTCTGAGCATTTCATTGGCTACATGTCGAAACAACCCTGTTGATAGTTATGGTGCAACTCTACTACTGACTTTTTTAGAGAGCTCATCAGCCATAACATCACAACACCACAACATACGTACATATTTTGCATCAAATGTTAGTCAATGCTATGTGTAGATATGTTAACCCATACTAGTAAGAACATATCCTTTATTATGGCAAATGGCAACATGCTGTGAGGATGTTCCCATCTTACTTTACAACACCATATTCGCATCCTCCTCTGCCAAGAGAGACGCATTGTCCGACCCTACTCAATTAGCCAACTCTGCTCCACCTTTTGGACAATTTCTTTTCACGCGGCCAGTCTGACCGTAGTTCCGACAAGGCTTGTCACTTTTACGAAACTCACAGTTTTCTTCCCATACATCAAGATTGGCTTGTATGTTCATAGGTAGACGGAGGAGACCAGATGAGTCATAGTGCCTTATCCTCATCATCTATCTTCACTCCAATACCTCCAGTTTTGAAACAATCTTGTTGAGAACACTTAGATGGTCTGAGATTTTCTTACCTGCCTCCATGCGCAATGAAAGAAATTGCTTCTTCAGGTACAATCGATTTGAGAGGCTCTTCGTTTGATATAGTTCTTCTAACGTCTCCCATAGTTCTTTTGCAGCAGATATTTCATGAATACTTGCAAGAACATTTTTATTCAGATAGAGACGTATCATGCTTGCAGCCTTCAAATTCAATTTTTCCCAATCCTCATCGTTCATACTGGATTCAGCTTCCTTGCTAGAACTCTTAGTTGGTTTTCCTTTTAAAGCCTTGTATAGTCCAACTTGAATCAATAAATCCCTAACTTGTATTTGCCACGAGCCAAAATTGATTCTCCCGTCATATTTCAACGACGACATATTTTTCTGTTACTCCAATGCTCCGAACCACCTGAGGCTCTGATACCATTTGTTGGAAATTTTTACACCAATTCTCTTCATTTTTATTTACCCACAGGATTCTTGTTGCTTAAGAGAATATTAGCAAACAAAAAAATTAAAAATATAACGCAAAAATCAAATGGACCGTCAAAACTTTTCATTATATGAAAAATTATTACAATCATATAGAATTTCACTCACCAACTCAATCCCCAAGTATTACAAAGAAATATAAACTCGAACTTTACTATACCTACTTTTCTACCCAATGTACGAAAAGTCTCGAGATACTAGGCTTACAATATTTTCCTCTCGAATCAACTCTCTGGCTACACCCAAAATAATAAAATACATCTGCTATTTATAGGATCAATAACCAAGTAAAAGAGTTCATTTTAAACTCAAACAAGACTTCTTTAACTCAATAAGGATTCCTTCATGTGCAAAACTTCAAAATCAATTGTAAATTGAAGATCAAATTCTGCAAGGATTTTGCTTTCAACTTTAATTAGAAGTCTTCTATACAATAGGTACATTTTATTATTTGCAATGGAAGTCCTCATCTTGACTTTTAAGGCAATTTACCCAACATAAACTTCAACTAAAAATGATATAATTGCAGAATTTGAAATAAAAGAAAACAAATTACAGTGTGCTTTTTAGGACTTCCACTGAGAAAAAAGACTTATTGCAGACTTTAGCACTTCTAATTTAAAGAAACTTGATAGAAGACTTCATGCAAGCCATGGAACATTATAATTGGGATTAATATTGGGGCATAAATAAAGTTTTGAAATATTTTTTAAGTTTTGAAATATTTTTTGTTAATTTTGCAATTTTATTATTTACTATGTGACCTTGTGCTAATGTTCCTAATAATTGGAAATACGAGTTTTATACGGAATTAAAATTTAATAATTATTTTTGGATGTATATTAAATTAATTATTGGATTGTTTGATTTAAAGAGTTTCGATAAAAATTGAAATTTTGCACATATTCATACTGGAATCTTATGCTTATGTAGTTAGCTCTTTTCCTGAATTTCTATTCTATGCATCATCTGATTGTTTGCGATAAGTCCAATTTAAAATTTGACTAAGAGTCCTTTCAGAATTCTAAGTGGATAATTATCCTAATTCACACGCCAATTCGTGGGAAAGGGAGGGAGGGAGGGAGGGAGAAAGAAGATTAATAGTGAGAGAAAAAGAAAAGAAATGAAAGAAAAAAGAATAACAGTTTTTTACGTGGTGTTCAAAATCCGTTCGCAAGAATTTTCAATCCTAAGCAGCTCAAGTGTTTTCATTTTTCTAATTTTTAGACGTTGTTATGTGATCCAAATTACTAGGAAGAAAAATAATGTGAATAATACACTAAGTGGAGATTGTGAAAGGGTACTATGACCTAATTGAGAATGAAACAATCCAATTTCTATGCCACTAGAAATAATGTTATGCGCGTAATTTACTTGCTTTTATATAAAATTATGAAAATTTGGCTTGAAATCTGTACCAATTGTATTCATATACTCATTCCATATTCTAAATTATTTTACAGATGCTTTATTGATTGGAGTTGGAGGTTGAGACTTCTTACATAATTCATATCGCTAGATCAAGAATTTTATTTTTCTTTTAGTATTCAGTATTTAATTAAAAAAATTATTTGGAAATCAGAATTTTTAATTTCAAATCGATATGGAAAATAAATACTTGATTTATATTTCAGTAGTGGATTGGATTAGTTGACATTTTATGAGACAATAAAATAGCTTATTTTTTCCCGCACAATTCTTTAAATTTCATATTACAATACGAGTCAATCAACTTTTTTTAAGGATAAATGGATCATTTGAGAAACCTTTGGAGTATAGATTTCAAGACGTGACACACCACGAATTAGACCTATATTAGGCCCTATTTGATGGATATTTTTGTCAAATAATATAAAGTTAAATAAATACTTGATTTATATTTCAGTAGTGGATTGGATTAGTTGACATTTTATGAGACAATAAAATAGCTTATTTTTTCCCGCACAATTCTTTAAATTTCATATTACAATATGAGTCAATCAACTTTTTTAATGGATAAATGGATCATTTGAGAAACCTTTGGAGTATAGATTTCAAGACGTTACACACCACGAATTAGACCTATATTAGGCCCTATTTGATGGATATTTTTGTCAAATAATATAAAGTTCCGAATAGTGAATTTTTAAATAATGTTTGGACCAAAAAAAAGAAAAATTTTGGATTCAAGTGCAAAATATTTTATTGTATAAATGTGTAAATGAAAATGAGTGTGTAAAAAAATAATAATAATAATAATAAAAGTAAAAATAAAAATAAATTAGAAAATGATTTTCAAATAGGGGCTTAATTTAAAAAGGCTATAAAATTTGTAGCTTAATTTTTTTAGTTTTAATAATCATTCCCTTAAATTGTCAAATAGGGGCTTAATATTTGTTGGCTTAATTTTTTTTATTTTTATTTTTATTTTTTCGAGCCTTCTCCTTCTAACCTTCAAATATGAAACATTTTCTTGAAATTTGGTTGCACACTTAGAAAAGAAAAAGAATGAGGATCCCCAATGGAATTTACCCAAGATTTTAATCAAAATTTTACATATGAAGGTATCTCGTAATTTTTTAAACTAGATACATTCATTGAGATATCTATCATTTGCTTAGCGGAATAATAAAAACTTTTATATTCTCTATTTGCGTCCCTCTTTTGAAAAAACGACCTTCATTAAATTACTTTCATGCAAATTCAATTGCATAAATTTTTCATTAAATTACTTTAACATTAAATAATACAAAAGGTTCCAAACTCCAAAAAATGTCATATCCTATAGGGGCAAAAATATTCATCCTAAATCTCTACAAGCCGCTGGGGATTATGAGCTACCAAGTTGGAAGTAGGAGTTGAAGCCTAAATATCCTTCCTTGTATTTATACAAATTATTTTATATAATTATGTTATGCATAAAAATAATCGTTTTATACAAATTCTCATGTAGGGCTCATAGAAAATGTAACTGCAAAACCGAAAAAACTGTGAATTCAAAACAATTCTATTGTTTACAAAAAATTTAGAATCATTACAAATTCTGTAAACACCAACACATTCACTTCATGTAAATTTTCGTAACAAAGGAACTGGCTTTTCTCAAAACTAAATAATTTTAATAAAATTGAAGTTAAACAAATTATGACGTGGGAACTTACAAATTGTGACATCAAACATATTAGTTTGGCGCCGCTGGTCTTATCTTCCGGATCCTACTCTATCTCCATGGTGATGGTGATGTCGATGAGATGAAGAATGCATGGACTTACTTTTGGATTCTTTTGGCTTTTTAATAGCTGCAATTTGCTCCAACGTCTCTCCGACTTCTTTCATTGAAGGCCGCTTCNACTTACTTTTGGATTCTTTTGGCTTTTTAATAGCTGCAATTTGCTCCAACGTCTCTCCGACTTCTTTCATTGAAGGCCGCTTCCTGGGTTCTGATTCAAGGCATCTTAAAGAGAGTTGAGCTGCCTGTAATGCCGCCTTTGAAGAATATTGACCTTCCATCCGTGCATCCATAATGCTCATTAGCTTCCTTTTCTGATGGAGAAAGGGTTTAGCATAATCAACCAAATTCTTCTGACCACTAGATCGTCTGTTATCAAGTGCACGTAAGCCTGTCAACATCTCAAGCAGCACCACACCAAATCCATACACATCACTCTTTACATAGAGATGACCTGTTTTCAAAAATACGCAACATGTTTAACATGGGGAATAGAGCGTGAAGGAAAAGTTCAACACATTGTGAGCTCAACTTTCGACATGTTGAACTAGTTTTCTTTATTCACCAATTTCATCCTTTCTTTCTTTTTCCATATAGCAATTTGATCGGTGGGTTTCCATCGTTCTTTTTCTTTTTCCTTCTTGGGAATTGGGATGTGGTGGTTCCATGACTGCACAATTTGCCCAGACCAAATGGAATCCACCATAAAGCACTGACAATGTTTATCAGGGTTAATATCTGTTCAATTAGTCTGAATATGGAAACCTGGTATGTAAATTCTAGAACAATTGTATACAAGAATGTCATAAACATAGGCCAAGCAGAGACCAGCTTGAAAGGTGTGCTTGTAACGTGGGAATGATTTGGGGAAAGCATGATTTCCATATAGTTATTGGTAGAGGTGTAAATGGGCCAGCTCTAGGTAGTGTTGGAGTGAATTGAAGAAAACGATACTACTTTTTTCCATCACTCAATTGGATTCAACACTTCATGTACCGAAAGGTCTAGTGAAACTGAGTGATGGATCAAACGTGGTACAACACTAGTATTAGGTGTAATCCTGACTAAAAACCCTTCAGTACAGCATGTTTGCATCTCTCATATTAGCATCTTCAAGCTTAAGAAAGTAAAAATTGCAGTCCAATTATCAGACAGATATTGAAACTACAGAAGACATGAAGGCCAGAAGCCTTTTCGCAGGAGAAGTCCAACCATAATTCTAGATGTTCTGTGGCAACTACACAACGTTTATTATGCTCTAGAGGGACCCTTTCAGACAATTTGCTTTATTTTCCTTTTATTTTTTCAGATAACACTGCCAGGGATCCTCAAATTATCTGGCTATTTATTTTTGTACTGGTCAAATGCCAAACTAATAGTTCCATTCCTCTAATACGTGTCAAAAACATTGCATCGTACAACAGAAACTTATTGCCCTTCCATAATGGAGCATCCGAGAAAATTCCAGTTTCTTCTTAGACCATCAACTAAGCCTTTTTTTTCTAGTGGAGTTTCTCAGCGGCCCGGGGAGAACTCCTTTGTTCCAAAATGATATGGAAAAGAAATCCCATGAAAAGGAAACAAAACTTTAAATTCAATTCCAAGTTAGAAAAAATATTTAAAGCATTAAGAATATCAGATATACCACTCATATTTGAAATATCATATTTCCGTAGCTCAAAAATAGAAATTCTCAGTGCATGGATGTCATGTGTCCATTGGCATAGGCTTAAGTTCAAAGCTGGATTTTTAAGCATATCAAATTCAATTTTAAAATGCCAAATCTTATCCATTACTGATCAGATCTAACAGGAAACGGAAGTAGTTCAAGATGCTAAGAAAGGTATATCATACAATCAAATAGAAACTCACCTGTTGCAACATATTCAGGAGCCGCATAACCATATGTTCCCATAACTCGGGTTGTTACGTGTGAATTCCCCTCTGAGGGCCCTAATTTTGCCAGGCCAAAGTCTGATATTTTTGCATTATAATTCTGCAATACAAGAAAACACCATTAGAGAGCTAAATTATAAGCAAAAACATTTTTTTAAGGTTCACTAATTTACTTCAACCAGCACAAAGTTACATTCTTGAAACAACTGGACAGAATAATAAATACTAAGATCTAGTTGGCACGTCACCTTGGCATTTATGGACAAGATGTTAAAACATAAAAGTTTGCACGAATCCCTTCAATTCGAGGTATAAACGTTTGATAATAATTAGAATCATTATTTCATATAATCTCCATTAAATGCAAATCATTCAGTAATCTGTGAGCTGCATATGGATATCCCGAATCCCCCCCTCCGTCCCCCTCAAGGGTGGAACTTATAATATCCATCCACAACTCTAAATTCCTTATACCTCGATACCATATACTTGAAGATGCAAGATCTGCTTCTTAGGAACACTGACTTTAAAAACTTTAATCTCTAGTTTTAGGTTTTTGCTCAGTACCTGAATAGCACTGGTAAGGACAAAAAAGAAAAGATTTGAGTAAAAGGGAATCTTACAACTGGCACCATAGCCCGCAACCAGTGTAAGATTTATAATCTGGTCCTTCAATTTCTTTGGTCAAGTTTTCAATCAATGAAGCTAAAATTTGAATTCTCCTAAGTTCTCTTTAGCCAATGAATATGAGGACAACAACCTATAGAGTCATAGTATAAGCGTCGAAATTATTTTGGGACGTAGAACTGTCCTGACTAACTAAGTTGCCAACTTAAACAACTGAACTATTCATCCAGGTTATAACTAATACTAAGGACTCAAGAAAAACTTCAGCTAGTAACCAACTATTCAATGAAATCATACCGCATCAAGCAGGATGTTGGAGGCCTTAAAGTCTCTGTATATGACTTGCTTATCTGAAGTGTGCAAAAAAGCTAGGCCCCGAGCAGCTCCCATAGCTATTTTAAGTCGTATGTCCCATGATAAGGGTTCAATTGCAACACTTCCTGCATAAAAAACCGAACCAAAAATAAACATAAGAATATCTTTCTTCCCACTCCTTGCTACTCTCATTTTCAGACTCAAGTTCTTACTTCTAAAAAGATGGTTTTCCAGGCTTCCCCTCTGCATAAACTCGTATACAAGTAAAAGCTCTTTATCTTCCCAACAGTATCCAAGGAGCTTGACCAAGTTGGGATGTGAAAGCCTTCCTAAAAAATTGACTTCCGACTGCATTTCCAAATTAAGTGAAAACATTATAAGTATTAATTAAAGGCATATGATATAAGAAAGAAAGATCATCAGACAGTCACTCGATTAAGACTTTCAAAATGGAAAGTAGAAATATGATTCAGAGACAGTGACAATAAACATGAAGAGAACTTCCGTCAACGATGTTCCCAAGCACAGATACACACAGCCACAGCTTAAAACTTGCTCCAAATGAAATTCAATCATATAAAGAGACAAATCTTGTGTTCTGTGATATAACAAGAATGATATAAAAGCCTTAAGTTACAATGATACTGATCCATCATCAAACAATTTGAGAATTCAAATCTTTATCGTTCTGAAGTAAAAGAATCATTGTGGAGAAGATTTTTATATAGTAATTTCCACATTATTACTAGAAAATAGTCGATTAGACATGCAGAGATTTAGGAGTAGCAGCAGCCAAGTAGTCAACAAAAAAAATTACTTCATTAACTTGTTTCTTTTAAAATGGATATTCTTGGTCAGTCGATATGCATATCTCTATACAAACCATGGGCAAAAAGCTTGTTACAATGAAAGTTGCCACCCCCTTATCAGATAAAGCGATATCTAACGTTGACTCTCATACATGTATTTGCTTAGGGATGTGCTTTGTTTTGAGGTGTCATTTCTCTTTCAGTAACAAACTCATTTCATTATCAATTCATCAAATAAAAATCCTATTGTAATTGTAAATATTCAGTTAGGGAGTTGGCCATATATTAACAAATAAGTTAAATCATTTTTGTGTAAGAAACTTAAGACATACCTCCAGCCATGTTATTCAAGATTTAATTGATAATTTGCAATAGAAAAGAGTCTTTAAAGCACTAAAGGTCTTGCAGCCAATACCCACTTTATAACCCTTCAACTTGATAGAAATAAACATAAGACTTTCAATTTTTTAGAGAGAAAATTCTGCAAGGATTTTGTACAGGCTAGAGACCCTTTGACATATATATATATATAGGCAACCACCAAACAACTTCCATCCATCATGAAAGCGGGTAATATTTTTCCTGCAACAACTTCCCTCCAGTAACCAAATAGGAAGTTTTCTTGACAATTAATTAATCCACAATTTAAACTTAAAATGTATTTTATTTTACATTGACCATGTGGGCCACAAACGGTTTACATTTTGTTCTTGTTACTGAATCGGTGAACCATAATTCCTTAAGTTCATCATATTGCTTCACTAATTGCAATAATATGATGTTTGGGATTTTCGTGGTAGTAAAATTAATACATACATCTAGGTTCAACAAATATAGCTATCGATATAGTCCTTCACTAATCTAATTCCCACATATTTTTATAATTAAACAAACTTCCTTACTGTTGTCATCATTATAAATGCTTCAAACTAGATGCAAAATTAACATTTTGGCCTGGTCCTTACAAAGTCCCAACATGGAAAATTTTGATTAAGCCATTAAATTACTTAAAATAATTCAAACCAAGCATTTTCAGTAATTTTACCTGCCATTCTTCAAACCCTTGTGTGCTTTCAGGGTTCAATTTCTTAATAGCAACCATCATTCCAGTACCAACTTTAGCCGGTGAAAATGTCTTTGAATCTACCCAACCTTTAAATACAGTTCCAAAGCCTCCAACCCCCAAAACCATATCAGACTTGAAGTTCTTTGTGGCAATCTTCATATCAACAAAAGTAAAAATCTTCAAATTTGATGTCGGCAATATTTCTCCAGACGCACACGTATCATCACTTGCTGCAGCAGAAAACCGCCCAAGCCCCGCACTGCTGCTCGTTGCAGAAGGACCTCCACCATTGCTGTAATTACGCGACGTCACTAAAATATGGATAGAACAACCATATTAAATCAGAGAATTTTGCTCTTTCTGCTCAATCAAGAATATAACAAGATAAATACTTCCCTTATTTTTTTCCCAAATATGGCAATTCATTCATTTAAAGTCTAAAAAGTAGTGAGACAAACAAAGAAATAAAACCCTCAAGGCTAGTAATAAAGTTTCTTCCCTTTTCTAAAGTAAAAATCAAGATATTCATGAATTCCCAAAGACCCACAAAAGGAAACAGCATATATTCTTATATAAATGCAAAGTGACCAAACAATCAAAAGAAACCCTCAAGATACACTTGAATTCTCCAAAACCCATAAAAGGAAACATCATATATTCCGGTAGAAACACAACGCGAAGTATCAAAAAGTACCCCCTACCCGGTGTAGAAGTGGAAGCTCTAGTGGAGCTAGAGAGATTAGGGTCAGTTGAAGGTTGAGATCCAAAGCAATTCCCCATTAAAATATAATATCAAAATTGTGTTGAGCTAAATTTTCAATGATAATCATAAAAGAGCTTAGCTAATATAATTTGGTTGAAGAATCTGTCCTTTTTTCCAGCAGGGAAGAAGGTGGAGAGAGACTTGAAAGAGAAAAGAGCTCCATATAATAGTAATTAAAAAATGCTATGTTAGAAATTGGGGTAGTGTTCTCTTTCTTATTGGACACATTGGGATGTAATAACATCAACGTTTTTTACTTAGAAATTCCTACGTTGTTTCCATAACCTTTATGTTCTTTTCTGACTGCTTATGTTTCGTTTTCTATTTTACTTTCGCTATATAAATGTAAATCGGAAGAAACGAAGTCAACGGTCGAATAGAACTCTGCATTCAAAAAGGTGGAGTTGTAATTAAGAGTCAAATCCTGAGTTAGAAGATTTCAACATATCAAAGCATCTCAAGTCGTGGTATAAAATAAAATAAAATTGTAATTTAGATCTCCAAATTGTTAGAAAAAATTTCAATTTATAGATGGGAAAGAAATGTAAATTGCATTTTTCGACGAAAAATGTGGAAAAAAAATGCAAATTTACATTTTTTTTTTTTTTTACATCTATGAAAGATAAAAAGTGAATTTAAATATTCGTATTGGAACAATTTTTGAATTTAAATCTATCGAAATGTAAATGAGGATGCAAAAGTGATTTTAGACGTAATAATTTACATATAATTTTACACTACAATTGGAGATTCTCAGAGTTTTAAATTTTTTAAACGAAATGAAATAATTATTATTTTACTAGCAAATAAAATTTGGCGCAAGGAAACAAATAATTAATTTGAGATAGGAGTATGATACTTTCATAGTGATGTCATTGTCAAACACTTATAATAATAAAAATGATAAATTTAACGGTCCAGACTTTGAGAGTGCCTTGAAAGACCGTATTCTCGTAAATCATATTGTTTGACGATAAATTCTTTCTGTATTTCTCTGAAAAAGTATTTGAACTCATTTAGGGCCTGTTTGGACTTGATTTTTTTTATTTAAAAAATTAATTTTTTGATCGTTATTTCACTATTTCAGCTGTCATTTTGACTTCTTCTCTTACAAGTGGATTCCACTTTTTTTCCAACGATCAAAAAATCAATTCTCAAAATCACTCCCAAACAGACTCTTAATTTTTCTCCAGTGTTGTCTTTGAGATATAAAAAAATGTTTCTTAGCCCATGTTTGATACAAATTGTTTAAAATTTATTTTTTTAAAAGTCATTATTAAATTCACATTCTTTCAATAAAATTATTTTATACACATTATTCTTATTGCCTCGTTCCTTAAAATGCATACATATATTACTTACATACCGTACATTAATGCGCACGTGGCAGCGTTCATTCCACTACCACTGCATTCACGCTTTTATTACGTGCAGCACATTGCAAACCATTTTGTACGCATTTTTTCATTTTTAGTGGACCCCACATTAAGTGGAAAATTTTAGGAAAATTATTTAATTAGAAAGATTCTTTCACATAATTTCAACAAATCCAGCTGTGGCTTTGCAGGTAGTTTTTTGTTTTTCTTATCCGTCAATGAATTTGTGCCATGAGAAATCTTATAAAATTTCTGGAGATATGCTACAAATACAAAATTTTTTGACAGAAAAATCTTACAGATAATACATAGCACGACATCATTGGCAGATGAAAAAAAAAAAATAGTCCACCTATATTTTGTCACTCCAGCGTTAGTATAAGTTTTGTTAAATTTTGCCTGTACTTATAGCTTCGTTGAAATTTCTGTGAAGATTTCTTTGTACCTGTAGCATTACTTAAAATTTTATTAATCATTGAAAAAAAACAATCAATGGCACATATTTTTACACCTCAACGAACACCGACAATTTAACGCCCCAATTTTTTCTTTTCTTTACATTAAACACCGAAACGTTACGAAAACTCATTTTTCTTTAATTTAAAAATGAGGAACTATATAAAATTCTTCAAAAAACAAATAATTGTAACGTTTTAATTAAAATTATTGAAAGCGTATCTAACCATAAACTCCTAAGTAATTCAAATAATTCGTTCTAAATTAAAATAAACAAATTGCTAAATTTAAAATGGCAAACTTATTTCTTTTTCTCTATTCTTTATCCACTTGGCAGTAAACGTTATGAAAACTCATTTTTCTTTAATTTAAAAATGAGGAACTATATAAAATTCTTCAATAAACAAATAATTGTAACGTTTTAATTAAAATTATTGAAAGCGTATCTAACCATAAACATAAACTCCTAAGTAATTCAAATAATGCGTTCTAAATTAAAATAAACAAATTGCTAAATTTAAAATGGCAAACTTATTTCTTTTTCTCTATTCTTTATCCACTTGGCAGTCCGCATCATCAATTCTCCACTGTTCCAATCGACCCGAACTAATCTGTAAAATTAATGTAAGAGTGAGTATTAAAAATACCCAGTAAAATACGTGCAAATTTCCATATACAATTACATAACAAATAAAATCTACATTTCATACCGCTCTTTTCTTATGGAGTATATCGGTGACCAAGCGACACACCCATCTTAGGTCCTCTTAATTTCCATGTAGAATTTCATATCTCTTTCTCTAGAATCCGAAGGTCCACTAGCATTCCATGCATATTTAATCGCACATAAGAGCATAAGGAAACGTAAACACTTTGCACATAAATGTATCTTACCTCGTTGAATCGACAGTATGTTGAAAATTGTTCCTCCGCTTTGAAAGTATGTGATTAAAATACTCGATGTATGAAATTTTATTTCTAATGCTGCTTTCTGTCTTCCTTTTTCTCTCCTTTCTCTCTCTCTCTCTCTTTTATCTTTCTCTTTCTCTATTTCACGTGTGAATTTTTAGTGTGGTAAAATGTGGGATTCTAGCCTACTATTTATAGGTGTAGACTAGAGTAGAAGATAGGTCTTATCCTAACCAAAAGATTTTTACTTGATTTGTACTAGGCCTTTTTGTTGTTATCAAAAAGAAAATAGAGAGTTGGTTTGCTATCCAATGCATGCCAACGTGAAGAAACATGATAGTTAAATGAGACGTCAACTTTTCAAACTCTAATATGATTACATCAAAGATATCTTCTATCATAAATTCTGAAATCGGCAGCTAGCTTTTGACTTTGTTTAATATATTTATTCTTTGTACACATACATGTCTGTTTTGAAAAATCATCTAAATTCAAATGAGTTTGAGACTATCTACAATACTATATTTGCAAATAGAAAATTTAGTTGCCATCACTTATCTATTATAATATAGTTTATCTTCCAAAATAACTGCTCCAAAATAATTAAAATTCTATCTTATTTTAATAAATATTATGTTTAAACAAAAGGTAGCCTAATTAGTCAGCACTGC